ATTTAAAATTGGTCCTAAGCCTTGATCTCTGAGTTCTCAAACCTCTCAAATCCTGAGGGGGACTTGCAGTGTCTTGAAGAGATTTGGGATCTAGAGGGTTTCGTTCAGATGCAGTTACATTTCATGGAACATATGTACAATCTTCGATGCGGCTGCATTAAACGGGAGATAAGAAAATCCACTTTGATCAACTCCGAGCCCTATACAATGAAACACAACCTGAGACTAAAACCCTCCCCCTAAGCTTAAGCTGCTGCAGGACTCCAACTCCCGTGCCATGTGGATGCGGTTCTCCAGATCCCTGCAAGGAGCTCCCATATAGTACCTATATTTGAACTCCCCGGCCTAAAGTCTAAACCCTGCTGGTCCCCAAACCCGAAACTAGGTGCTATAAACCCCGGATCCGACAGGAGCCGAGTGCCCCCCCGCCATCACGCTGGAGCTGAAGCGCTTGACAGTCAAGGGCAAGAAGAGTACCTTATTCGCATATGGTGGTTTGATTTGGGGACTGGTTTATTAACTAAATATACCCTTATAAACCCTAAACCCTAAACCCTAAACTTTGTGGAGTCGGGAACCTTTCTCGCATCCCTGTAGATATGAAGAAGTTGCGGGAGCTGTTCCACGAATGGATCCTGTCTTCCGAAGATTGGGGCGAAAGCAGGGTGGTGGCGATCCACACCTGGCTAGAGTCCAGCTCTAGCTCATCGGTGTGGCGTTGGATGACGAAGAAGGCTCGAATATTAGGATGGCCTAAATAAACCCGAATAAGCCTTAAACCCTAAACCAGCGAGCTAGGCTACCACATTAATGAGATGCAGGCTTTGCTTCGCTTGTACGAAGACGAGTCTTTGGTGGAGTCCTTGATAGCGGAGAAGGACCCGTCCGATTTGAGATCTAGAGTGTTCGCTGAAGCTGCATGCATGTACAGGAGCAAGACCCTGACATGCACAAGCATCATCCGGACTTCCCAAAAAATGAGGCCTGGGGATTCTTCCTTAAAACCCCAAAGTACCCGAAACCCTAAACCCCAAATCTAAGCCCTAAACCCAAAGCCCTGAACCCTAGCTATATAGGCCTTCGAAATGTTCAAAACCGGCGAAACCCCGAAGAGCTAAACCCTGGCACCTAAAGAAACCCTGAGGGGCACTATTTACAGACGTTAGACCCCAAAGTAGGTTCTACTTCTATACTTGGAGCCCTATATATTGTTGCCTCTGAATGTATACCCTTGCAGGCGATGAAGCTTTACAAGTGTTGGGTTGACCAGACAGAGACACAGGAACTCATGGAGAAATATCAACTCGAGTTCCATCGTGAAGGAAACGTGAACACGACCAGTGGCTTCGACGGGACAAGCCAGGACCAGGAGGAGCCGGGAGAGAAAAAGACGACGATCAACAATAAGAAGAAGGATAATCCCAAGACCGTCAAAGAAAAAACTACGACTCAACTCGCAAGGAATGCTTCCTAGTCGCATATAATATATTCCCCGAACCCTACATACTACCTGACACCCCTGATACCATCTGAGGCTGTCGTCCTTTGCAACACCTATTTGCTCGAAATCAAGGGCTACAAGACGCAGCTCGAGAAGAACAACGTGCCTCTCGACCCCAATAATAGTTTCGATGTCTCCGGATCCTAGCAGTTACGACCTATAGGTCCCTCGGTTTTAAACCCAAGCTAAGGGGGAAAGAGCTGATTGAAGCCCTTTGCTCTACGATGTACACGCATGGCAGCATTCTGAAGCAACACCTCGAAGAGGTGGAGGCAGGGGCCCAGATTTTCCCCGGATATCGGATAATCCTATTCAATTAATTTGACACTTGCCCGATCTACTCAACCAATTTATAATTTGGAACCCACGCAACTCCTAGCATCCCAACATCTCTCAAGCATTTCACAATTATATAGCTTATAGGGTTTCGGAGTTTAGGGGTCTAGGGGCTTAGGGGCTGAGGGTTCAAGGTGGCCCAGATTTTTCCCGGATGTCGGATAATCCTACTTCAATTAATTTGACACTGGCCCAATCTACTCAACCAACCCTTTAATTTGTAATTTTGAACCCACGCAACTCCTAGCATCCCAAGATCTTTCAAGCATTTCAGAATTATATAGCTTATATAGGTTTCGGAGTTTAGGGGTCTAGGGGCTTAGATAGGGGCTGAGGGTTCAAGGTTTGCGGTTTAGGGCGCCGGGTTTGGATTCTGATGCTGGCAGGAGCTCTTGGCCCAGCAGGTCACCGGAGCCACTCTCGAGGAAAGCCTCAAGAAGCTCACGCTGTCCAACAGTGCCTACAAGACTGCATCCAAACATGTGCGGTTGCACAGCGCCCCCCCGAAGACTCCCAATCCGAAAGCCAAGAACAAGGCCAAAGCTAAGAGCAAGAAGTGATGATGGCTTCAAGGGATGATAGCGCTGAAAGTGCCACATGTGTGCAGCTGTCACTAGCTAGGCCATGTGTTTGCCGCTCATTTTTGAAGTGAGCTGTCGTCGGGTGCATGCAGGTCGCTTAGAGGGCTAATCGTATGATTTAACATGTGGTGAACCTGCATGCTAGACAGCATGGGAAGAGAGGCAAAGTCATCACGTGGTCGCTCCCCGACAGTGTGCAGAGAAAGAGGGCTGCATCGTACCAGTCGTCATTTACAAACTTAACCCACTATCCTATAATCCCTTCACTCACTTGCCCATCGCAGATGATACGAGCTTTGCTGATCTATTGCTTCGCAATCTGGGCACAGGGGTACTTGGTCTGCAACAATGCAATCATCTAGACCCTACGAGCTTAAAACCCCGAACCTCCAGCCTATCCTTATTGAATCCTAGGCATCGACTGCATGTGCTCTCCAAGAAGCAGCTGCTGCGATGCTCAAGGAGAGCGGCAACTCGGCGAGTGACCTCACGAAGCGCTTAGCAAGAGCAGGGTCTTGGGGCCGACATCGTCAAAATGTGGCTCGTGATGTATTCAGGGCCTTGCAGCTACCGTTGGTTACTGGGCCGACTTCATCTTTTATAAATCCTTTCAGTCGTTGAGTACCGTAATCATTTACCCAAATACTCCTAAACTCCTGAACCTACTGGCAACCCAGGGAAACTAATAGCTAATCCGGTCAGGATCTCTTCTATGTCAAAGTCCCTATCCTCAGCCCTGAAGACCGACAAACAGAAAAAGAGATGGAGCTTCCGCTGGTTCTTCCACATGAGTTGTATGCTGCATGGGTCGATACCTATCTGAATGAGTACATTATTATTATAATGATTCTACCATATACACATAATTATAATTATGCTTCGAGTACCGAAATCTAGCAGAGGAGGGCGGGATGATGGATGTCTCCGAGCAGCAGCTGCATACGTATTGGCAACACGTGAAGTGCAGATCCGCTGCAACCCCGATCGGTTTCGAGCAACAGTCCGTGCCACTAGGATTGTGGGGCGATGATGCCCGCTACAATAAAAGAGGCGAGAAGCTCATACTGTATACCCTGAACTCGATCTTGCATGAACGCAAGGGACACTTGGCTATAGAAGCTAGGCTATGTTGTAGATTATTAATGCTTATCGGTGGGGTTTTCTCAGCATGGGATTAGGGTCGGTGATCTAAGCTTACGGGTTGATGCCTGGTTGTAAAAAAGGGGCTCCTATCTACATATAATACCTAGTAGGGGTCGGTAGAATTGATCGAGCGGTTAATATCCAGATCTAGCAAAGCCTAGCGGGTTTAGGGTTTAGGGTTTAGGGTGTATTATAATAAACTAGATAGCAGGCAGGCAGATGCACCGCTACCCATTGTTTACGATCCGGGAGCACTTGTGCCTTCCTGGTGGCCGGACATTGCAGCCTGTTTACAGAGTCCTATGCTGGAGTTTGAATGTTCCTGGGCATGTACAACCTTCTTATATATGATTTCGAATCCCAATCTAGCTCAAACCCCGAATTTGTAAAGCTTGAACCCTGTCCGATACCAGATTCTCTACACTGGCAAGTACCCAGCTGTTGGACCCGACTCGGAACCCCTTCCGAAGAACCTGGCGAAAAAAGCCGGGCAGCTCATCGATGGTGGCAGCTCTGGCCGCACGCAGGCATCCGTAGCTGGTCGATTCTATATCTAGGCCGGTGTCCTAATTATTTATATATATAGATATATATGGGATAGGCTTAGGGTGCTAGTAAAGTATAATATTTATTTAGGGGCTGGAGGTTTAAAATAT